GTGTATATACAGGAAGTAACAGAAATTAGTTTTAAAGTTCTTATAATTAGAAAACATCAGTAATTCTCCAAACAAGATATTGTGTTTAGTACCTTACTAAAAAGACCTTTGAATTAAAACCATGATATCAAGAATAAGGATCCCTCAAACCAGAGCGGTATGACAGGAGCGGTATTTTCGACCATTAGCTAAGCAACTGTAGCTTATTAACTATCCGATTTCCTCATCAGATGAAGAATTTATTCTTAGTAGTGATAGCAGAAGATCGAAATAGGTATGTAGCTCACATTTGTTTTTATATTATGGGTACAAGAAATGACATAAGTACAGAATGTCTCACAACGGAGTTAGGATTTTAAAATTTTTGTACGGATTCATCAATTTCAATATCAAAGGGAGCAGCACCATGCATACTCTGGTTTTGAAACGATTCTTAACTAAGGAGAATTGTACGTTAGGGCTTGACAGCAGTTTTGTTCCCACTACACAATCAGACGCGTTCGTGATGGAATATGCAAAAATTTTATTTATAAATGAAGCCATAGTTTCGAATCATTCACGTCCGGATCAGAGCAGGTCATCAAGAACGGAAGAAACAATGAATGAAGTTATAGCTAGCGTTCGTCGCAATCATGGTCTGTATAACTCAAAAGATCAGCGACCTAAAACATTCCCAAATCTGCCGTAGAGCAGATTTTGAAATGTGATTTGAAATGTCGTCCCTATGAAATCCAGATGGTATAGATAATATCGGAAAATTACTACAATTTATAAAACTAGTTTTGCCAGATGGTTATCGAGACATTTCGAATAGAGTGCTTTAGAGTGATGAAGCAAGTTTCCATACAAATACATATGTGAATAAACAGAATTATCGTTTTTGGTACCCTGTTAATGCCAGGCATAAACATTAAACACCGCTGTAAAGCCGAAAAGTGATGTGTAATGAGCTCTTTCAATGAATGGAATAATCGGGACGTATTTTTGAAGTGAAACTTCTTTACGCACGGTAGGGTAAGTTCGTTTCATGCGAGTTACTATGTAACGAAATCATGCAACGGATGTCCTCCCTCTACTCGGTCACGTAGTCAAGTCTGTAATGGGGATCGCTTGAGCCGTGAGCGCGCTTCAATGCAACGTTCATTACAAGCAACTCCGGCATGTATAGTGTAAAATTTAAATTCATAGTGTACAAATAATACCATGAAATCAATTCCTTAACCCCTATCCCGTTATGCTTGTGTTTGAAGAAGTTTCACTTCAGTAGCGTGTTGTATAATTACACGTTGTATTTTCTTTTTAAATGAGAGAGGTGTTGCAACAACTGTTACTGATGATGCATATCGGCATATGTTATCCACTTATTTTATGCCCTAGCTTCGAAAATACGCTGCATACAGTTTACGGATGTGGTTTCAGATTTAAAGAGCAACAATTTAATGAGGTGTTATTCAAAAATTGATGTCCCGCTTTGGTAATATCGTATGACCTCCGCGATTTTTTCCTTTGTTTATATATTAAGAGCAAAATTTACATTAATACTTCGAGGAATATCTTTTAGTTAAAAGAAAATATTCGCTGTGAAATAAGCGAAATGAAGTCTGATATGTCTCAGCGTGTTATATAAAATACCATGTACAGATCATTTGGAAGATCTAACTTTCAAACAATGAAATTTGCATTACTACTGATTTTAATAAAAATATTTTCGTAACAGAGCTTTAGATCACTGCTTAGCACTCGGGACGACACCGGTTCGATTCCGGATCCATCTACCCTGGTTGAAGTTTTTTTGTGATTTCCTTGGATCAATTGATGATGGCAGAAATGAAAGCAGACATGAAAACTGGACAAGAAGAAATGAAAGAAGAGTTGAAAGCAGCTCAGGAATGAAACAAAAAATGCGAGCAGTACAGGAAGCAATAAATACGAGAATGGAGGACAAGATAAATGATATTAAAAATGAAATGGAAAAGAAGATAAAAGAAAGATAAATCAATAAGGAAAATAAGACAGAAGAAAGGGAAATTAAGATTGAAAAGAAGAAAAGAGAGATGAAATTGAAAAGCTAAAACTACCTACTAAGAGGCCTGACGATTCCGGTGTAAGACCATCAAAAATAACACCTCCAACTTTCTGTGGTAATATCTCGTCTGTTTACCTGAAGTAGCTTGAACCAACGGCAGAGGCAAATTCCTGGACTGGTTCAGAAAAAGCAAAGGTATCATGTTGTTCATCAAGGAATGCGTGATCGATGTCAAGACAGTGACTGCTAGAATCACGGGAGAATGGAGCCCAAAATGTTGGGAATGTGAAAGATCTGACCATTTTGGTAGAGACTGCAACAACTACTGTGGTCGTCTGAACTGCTTCACCAAATCCCCAAAGAAGTCATCATTTCAAGACTGGCTAACTCATTATTTATAGAAGGTTCTATAAATCAATACGATTTTAGAGGGGTTATCGATACAGGGGTATCCAACACTATCGTTCTCCCTGATATGGCATTGGAATGACAAATTCAATCTTTGACCACCATAGAGAATGCAATGTCGAAATTAGAGTTGGAAATGAGATCTTATACAATTGGGTATTGATGGCAGACACAGTAGATGATTTCATCATTGGGTTAAACCATTTCATGAACATGGAATTAACTTAAGTCTAATCACTTCTACAATGTGCATCGGTGGAGAAGGGATAATAATGTCAAATCTTAAGACAATGCTTGCTGCCTACAGGGTGATCGTAGAGGAAGATCAAGTACTACCGAGTCACTTCGAAAGCATTGTAAAAGTCGAAATATACAACGACATCGGCGGATTGGGGGGGTCACAAGGACAATCAAGATTTCACACAAAAAGCATTATTGGTAGGACATACGCTCGTAAGAAATGGAACATCATCGATACCTGCTACATTAGTCAATTTAAAAGACTTTAAGCAAAGATCTGTAAAGCACAGAGTTGGGTGTATTTGAACTAGTAGCTGAAATCCACCACTGCGGCAATAAAGAAGAACCCTAGACGAAACCGACATCACTTCCTGCAACTCTGTCAGAACTGGTAAAACGGTCAAGTAACCATCTCAGTAAGCATCAAGTCAAACAATTGGAAGAACTTTTTGGTCGTTTTTAACACGTCTTCGCCCTCTCAGATCTTTAGTAGGACCACTAACAACTACAGGAAGTTGAATGACGCAATGGTGAAGGATCCATTACCCCGAATCGACAACACTCTAGACAGTCTAGCTGGAGTTAAATGGTTCTCTACTCAAGATTTGAAAAGTGGATACTGGCAAATGGATATGCATCTGGACTGGAAATGGTCTTTGACAGTTCAGTGTGATGCTTTTCAGGTTGTGCAATGCACCGATTACATTCGGGAGACCCATGGACAATGTAATTCAAGGATTAAACTTGAAAATCTGTTTGGTTTACCTAAACGACATCATCATATTAGGAAGAACTTTCGACCACGACCACCTCTGAAACGTGATTGAAGTCTTCAAGGAGTTGGCAACAAGGTTGAAGCTAAGACCCAAAAAATGCATCTTCTTTTGAAGAGAAGAGAAATACCGTGGCTATGTCATAACACCAGAAGGAATTATCGGTCATAATAATAAGGAATTATGACCGATCCCAACAAAACGGATGCCATACGAAATTAGTCCATACCAAAGGATCGCCACGAACTTAGAAGCTTTCTGGGACTTTTCTCCTACTACCAAAAATTCATACAAGAATTTGCCGATATAGCCCGACCACTACACTCACTTACAAAATATGGAGTTTCATTCCATTGGACACCCCAATGCCAAGAAGCATTTGAACATCTGAAGATTACACTCTCTAGAGCCCCAATTTTGATGTATCAACAATTCAATCAGAATGTTATGTGGAAAAGAACTCAGGTTGCCAGCAGACATGATGTTTGATCGTTCTGGAAACTCTCTAGTATCTACAGACGAATACGTGAACGAATTACGAGAACGACTAGAAGCCATCCATAATGCTGTGCGTACGAAGCTGCGATTTTAATGAAATGGTTTAATGAAGCGACAAAGTATGACTATATAATCCATCAAGGCGGAAGGGACCGGCTTGCACCACACAGCGGCGACGTCACTGAATGAGACGATTAGTTTTAGGAGGGGGGCAGAGTCACATGTATGTAGGCAACTAAAATACATAGTAGCATGGAAGACCAGAATTCTATTCGGCATATATTGGAAAATTCTAGAAAACGTGAAGTCGCTATAAATAGTTGTCGCAAGATCGAGTGGAGACCGAGAGGCATGGCCTAGAGGCTTAGACCATTGCTTAGTATTCGGGAGGACGCCGGTTCGATTCCGGGTCTGTCTGCCTTGGTCCAAGTTTTTCTGTGGTTTCCTTGGATCACTTAGGCAAATGCTGAGGCAGTAATATTCCACAGATAATCTTTCATTCTCTTCTGTCTNTCACATTGAAGGAGTTTCAAAATATTAATATCTATATGATTTTCTTGTAAACAAAGTTCTATTAAACCCATAAAATATTTTTTATTCTGTATTCCAGCTAGGTGTTCTTTGAAACGAATCTTAAAGGAACGAGCAGTTTGGCCGAAACAGTTGTCAAGTTTTCGTCAAAATAAATCTGTTGAACTTTTCTGGGATTTTTGAAACCTTTTGATTATTATTAGATTATATAAAATGGATTCATCATGTATATATTAACTAAGTTATAGCAAATTATGGATAAGTATATTTATTTAAAAGTATCTGCATATGTATACTTTCCATTAAACTTAACAATTATTGCAAACATGCAAGCAAGAATGATCCTCAGAGATAAAGAATTCTTTTGCTTATTAGAATAAATAAATATGTACAAAAGCAAAGGGATATTAAACAGTTTATACCGAATATACCAAAGCATCTTTAGGGTAAAAAACAATGCAAATTTTGAACTGCTCATGGTATAAAATAATAAAATAAATATATAAAACTTAACATGTGCATACCCAATACTGTCGATAATACAATTAAAGAAACCTTAATAACCACCACTTTCATTATTCTTTCTGTAAATCCGATTACCACATAAAATTTAAACAAACTCTGATGCACAGATAAAAGTTGATCTGGAACGAATGCCTACGGAACGTTTGGTTGTCTTCCTTATGTGTGCTGTACAATAAACGGTACAAAGTAACGGTTTATGCTGAATTACATACATGCATAAATATTAATGATATCCTCCGGTGACAAAATACGTGTTATGTTTCTGCAATATTAGGAACAAAGTGGACTTTAAAAACAACACTTCCTTAAACATCAGATAGTGTTTATGCTAATTGTTGATACTCATTTTATTGTTTTATTATCACTTTTTATTCCTGGTTCATTAACGAATTGATGAAATTCATCATACCGGTTTAGAAATTTTTCATAATTCTGTATTGTTAGTAAACTGAAACAATTTTACCCGCATCATTAAGAGCATTTACATCAATGTGTTCCACACCAGTATGTACGGGCCCTTTCGCGTTTCAGTTGACTCACCTAATGAAATCTTATCTTTCTGGATACCATAAAAGGCAATGAAAGTTCAGTCATTTTAAGTATAAATAATAATAACAACAAATTTATTTATCCGAAGATAGTGTAAGTACAAATAATTTATACAGGAACAACAATTATGTCATAGGACATCATAAACAGAAGAAAAACTTAAAAATACTATTCATCATAAGGTCGTCAGTCCTAAGACTGGTTGGACACGTACCTCCACTCTTTCCTATCCTGAGCTCAACTTCGCATTTCCCTAAAACTAGAACAGCCCACATCCTTAACTATTTGCGAACCGTAATCTAATCTAGGTCTACCTCTACCACTCCTAACTCCTGTTTCTGCGTCTAATATGTCTCTGACTAGACCTTCATGCCTAAGAAGGTGCCCTACCAACCTATCTCGCCTATTTTTTATTGACTTCCATAGAGTCCTCTGTTCTCCTATTCTTTCCAATACCTCTTCATTTCTAACCTTTTCTACCCACGTTATCCTCATCATCCGCCTCTAACACCACATTTCGAATACTTCTAACCTTTTATTTTCCGTCGCGCCCACTGTCCATGTTTCGCAACCGTACAGTGCCGTGCTCCAAACATACACCTTTAACAACCTTTTTCGAATTTCTAAATTAACCGTTCGCGAGCACAGAAGTGACCCTGCGCTATCATCTGCTTTATATCCCTATTACTCCTTCCATCCTGACCTATCTGACTTCCTAGGTATCTAAAATCAGCCACTTCTTCTAATTTTTCGTCTCCTATCTTTATATTCGCTCTTTCCCTACTTTTTCTTCCCTTGCATACCAGTATTTTAGTTTTACTTTTATTTATTTTCATACAGTACTGATCTGTCAGTACCG